TAGAAATTTGCACTATGGATAATATGGAAATAATAGATTTTCCTTTGCTTTTTGCAAATTTAGTGCCGGGAACCAAACCAGCACTTCAAACCTTACCTGAAACAATTCTTACCCAAGCGTTTGCACTTTGCCAAAAATGACAGGATTGAACCCTTGACATTCTATTTGGATCCTCAGTGGCAACTTGCATTGTAAGTTCTGATCTCTTAGTAATTCAAGGTAACCATTGGGCACTTTCTATGTGAATACAATATGATTCTCTTCAACTCAGGATTTCTCAACCTTGGCCTATAAACATTTTGAGTTGGGTAATGTTTTATTGTGGGGAGCTGTCCTGTGCATTGTGGAATATTAGACAGGATCCCTGACTTCTACCTGCCAGATGAAAGTAGCACTGTTTCTCCAATTCTGACAACTAAAAATGTCTCCAGACATTGCCACAAATCCCTGGGGGACAGGAACTTTTGCTCAGGCCTCCCACATCCATACTGATAATTATTATTATCTATATTCACATTATCACTTGCTATTTACCTCTCTTTTACAGATTGCAGTTATATCTGACAATACTTCAAAGTCCAACAAGAAGTTGATATAAGCACTTTATTATTTGGGTGGTTAATATTGTTAATATCTCAAAACTTACAATTTTGATGACTGCAAGAAACCAGTTGTGATACATACCCCTGTCAAATAAAAACTTAAGCAGTGGACCAGAATCCACTCAACCCAATGACACCATCTGTACTCTTACTAGAGAACTGTGTTTTTATTATTTAGAATATGAAAGAGGGGATGATCCAAACCCTTATAGGAAGATTAATATTTAGTGTCTCTAAATAATGTATTCTAAACATTTCTTTATGTCACTGCATTTTTACAAATGACCTAACATAAGAAGTTTTAATCAAGAGAAGGTAATTAAATTATCTGAAGTCACAACACAGCTGGCATAGTAGGATTCAAACCACTTCTGTCTTGATGTTAGTGGCTGTTCACCTCTGTCTTTTTTTTTTT